ACAAGGCTCTCTTGTTACAGCCTTTCTTAAAATGTTTCACATGGTCGGTTTTTGATAGAGCATAAGCAACCCAATTGTCATGCTGGTAGTCTACATGTTTCAGGCAATTCTTCCATTTAAAAGTGCCTAGGAATTCCTCAGAAAAATTATTGGATTGTGTTGTCCTTCATAAGATGCTTTTAACTACATCTTGCTCTTCTACTGCTGCTCTCAAAAGGCCAGAAAGAAGATAAGAGGCATCTTCTAACAAGCTTTTGTTGTCTGCCCTGTGAGCTGTGTGGCTGTGCAAACCCTCTTGCATACCAAGAAAGTTTTGCAAAAATATCCCACTGCTACTTATTGTAATAGTGTTGGCAGTAACAGGCGCTGTATTGTAGGTAGCTCGCTCGCTGCTCCCAGTGTTTTCATCAACACGGGTGAAATGTGAGCTTAACAAAAGTCAATGAGAGTTTTGTCTTTGATTGCGCAGCAGCCAGGCTTTCTCCCCAGCTGTTACAAACGCAGTCAGCGTGGCAATGGGGAGAGCACACTGATTGGTGTGACTTGGTTTAAAAAGGAACACTCACGCGCACAGTATGTCTATGTGTGGATTTCCTGCTCTTCCTAACGCTCTTCTGCCTTCACTGTAGCCGAGTGTTGCTTGAGCTGAGAGTTTTTAGAATATAATGAATGTTTTTTAAAAAGTTGATCTAATCCATAGTTTTCATACAAGCAACTTAATACTGTGCTGAAAATCTCTCAAAGTCTTAGCAACTCTCATGAGATCACCTAAAACCTAGATTATTGGGTCTTACACTGTGAGCGCAGAATGGATGGAGATGTCCAGTCAAAATGTGGCCAGTTATGGATTGTTCAGAGCGCTCTGTGACATCCTGACTGCATTGGGCTTTAACACACAGGGGAAAAAAAAAAAAAAGACAGTCCTGGTCATGTAGCCAGTGTGGTTTGAGGTTGGGTAATGCTGCTATGTTTCAAGCAATTAAGTAGGTCTAATGCTTGGATAAAATATTTTTCAATCTTCAAGTTGTCATGGTGATTGTTAGCCTAAGACTCCAAAATATAGACTAGAAGGTGATTTAGGAAGATTGAGTATTGAACGCTAATATACCATATTTTTAACGTGTGTTTCGAACGCTGTTGATATGGCCAAAAATTCTGGAGGAAATCGTGGCACATGAACAACCAACACTGCTGCTGCAAATGTCCTACTGACACGCTTGAAGTGTGATTTGTTAGTTTGGTATCTTGCTCATAATCTGAAGCTCTTAGATAGGAAGCCTGTTTAGGGTGCCTTAGTTTAGGCACTCAGTTTTTGGGGGCGGGGGGAGGATATTCGATATTGTATCAGCTACTCTAAATTAATCCCTGTGTGCTGCTGAAATGTGTGTGACTAATCAAGAATGGTAGTTTTCTGTATCATTTACTAAATCATTTGCCATGTTCCCATTTGCTGAATCATCAGGTATAGAATAATCAGTTATTTCATTTGATTAATTTTTTTTCTTTAAATTAGAACTTGTATCTTGAAACCTTATCAAGGAAGAGGTGATCTTAAAGTTATTTTTTCTCATTTTTGGGGGGGGGAAGGGGGAAGCTAAAAGACGCTTGCGGTTTAAGAAGATTGTAAAAAAACGAGTTTGCGGAAGTTGAAGGTAGTACAGGGTTTGAGGAAACTGGGGGCTTCCTGTATGACTTTGAGCAGATCACTTAACCATGCTGTCTTGATTTTCTTACCCATAAAATGGGGGCAGTGAAGAAATATAGGTAGTTGGAAGGCACCACTTAGTTGCTTTATATAAAAATGAATTTTTGGAAGGCAGAAATCATCCTTTGAGGGCAAAGGATTTGCAAAAGCAGAAGTGCTCTCAATACGTGTTACATCTGTTACCACGTGTAGCGCGCTCTCATAACAAGGGTATATATGAGATAACACAACATATATTTATGTAATATAAATATGTTTAGAAAATGGTTGAACTAAAAAAAAGCAATATTGCAGTGAAATCTCCAAAATGTGATGCAGCTGTATTTATCAAACTGTCACTCGATGTCCGTTCCTCTGTTTCACTATTTTATAACCCTCAAAAATGCCCATTTTACAGCTCTGCTCAATTTCTGTGAAAGAGCTTCTCAAAAAAGAAAAAAAACCCACCACCATACCCAAAAAATTCCTCTGTTTCACTATTTAATAACCCTCAGAAATGCCCATTTTACAGCTCAGTGCTCAATTTCTGTAAAAGAGCTTCTCAAAAAAGAAAAAAACCCACCACCATACCCAAAAAAGCAAGTTGTAGCAAAATCTGAACAAGATGCAGCCGTACTGCTCTGGCTTACTGCTTATTTTGTATGTACTTCCAGCAGCTTATAGAGTTTATTTTACAGAGAAGGCAAATTTGGAAATAACAAGGATGGCTTGTGCAAAATTAAAATTACATTATTGATTAACTACAAAGTGGTTTAAAAATAAGAGCTCAGGGTAATCCTGTTACCTGATATGCTTTTGATTCCAAGTTCATCCTCAGTCCGTATATCTAATTGTGTTCTGTTAAATTAACCTGGCATGTTGTTTTCCTAAGGCTTATGGGTCATTGACAGTATTAGGTTTCATGCAGGCCAGCTGCTCCCAAATCAAGTCGCTTCCTACACTCCAGCAAAGTTGGGGTGGAGAAGAGGGAAGCACACAAGCAAAGGCTGGTGGAGGCAGCAGATGCAGTATGAAGACAGCCACGTGATTTTACTTGGAGCTTCAATGTTAAGACTTCCACAAATTCCATGCTCCTTAGCAAAATGTTGAAAAATGTAGTGTTAAATTACAGCTGTTCCTTGGGACTGTTTGTGTTGCTCCTTGGGACTGTTCTCCTAAACTCTAATTACAAAAGCAAGCCTGAAACAAGGAGTGTTTCAAAGCCCCCTGGCAAGCCAGATGCAGTCACAGGCTGAGTTGAAAGGAAACGGGGATCCACGAAAGGAACCGAAATAGACTTGGAGCTTTTCCCCACTGCAGTTTCACTGTTATCTGGAGTTTTTTTTAATGTCATAATGTGGTGACTGAGTTTTTGGAGGAGCCTAGCATGATAGGCAGGGGTCTGAACTGCATGAGTACCATCAGGGTTCATGTCAAAGGTGTCTCCCCAGCCGCAGCAGTGCCGGGCTGCCAGCGACGCTCCCCACCGTGTCCCGGCTGCTGCATGTTCTCCATCCTCGGTAGGTGGGAGCAGAGCCAGACCTGAGCACGGCACGTGCCCAGGATAAAAGCTTTACTGACAGCGAAGGGCAACCAAGATGATTGAGGGATTGGAGCATCTCCCGTATGAGGAAAGGCTGAGAGCGCTGGGACTCTTTAGCCTGGAGAAGAGAAGGCTGAGGGGAGACCTTATTATTACTTAGGAATAGCTAAAGGGTGGGTTGAAGGAGGATGGAGCCACACTCTTCTCGGTGGTTCCCAGAGACAGGACGAGGGGCAATGGGCGCAAGTTGGAACATAGGAAGTTCCGTTCCAACACACGGAGAAACTTCTTTACGGTTCGGGTGACAGAGCGCTGGCACAGGCTGCCCAGGGAGGGGGTAGAGTCCCCTTCTCCCTTCTTTCTGGGGTTTTTTACTGACGTGCCTGGTGGCTCCAGAAAGGCAGCTAAGTAGCGCATTTGGTCCAGAAACCTGCCTCTCCGGGAGGAAAATGCCGGTTGTTTTAGTGGAAGATGCAGGAAACCAAGTAGCTGCCAATTTATAAAGTGCTTGCAGGCACATTTTTCTGATTTTGGCAGCTTGTGGTAGGCTACTGTTCTGAAGTTAGAGCTTTTCTACCCTAACAGACTGTTGATGTCATGTTGCTTGAGATATATCTAATGTCTGATTACACGCAGACCTGAGAATGCGTGAAGTCTAGTGAGTTGCAGATGGATTATCTGGCAGTATCAGACCTTTATTTTTAAAGTTTGCCGCATGAAACCATACCTGTATTTGAGTAAAACATCCTAAATTGCGAGTAAATAATACACCAGAATGGCATCTCTCTTCCTATTTGTAGTTTGCTGTGTTATTTATTTTACAAGGTTTGTAAGGGGAGTAAGCTGTTGTAGCTGTCAGTTGGGCGTTGTGTTAACATTCCTATTTAAAGCGGGGTCATTGACTTACGCAGTGATCTCGAATGAATTGCTTATCCTGAGGAAAAGCGAGGCATGTGGAAGATAGAAGGGGTAATATCTGAAGTATATTAAATTTTCTGAAGAGCATTGTGTAAGCGCTAAGAACAGTTATTTAAACCAACTGCAATTAAGAGTCTTGCTCCAAAAGGCACATCAGAAGTTCCTTCTCATTTAGTACGTAGCTGACGTCTCACATTTACAACTTCTATAACACCTTAGCGTGTGCACACACACACGCACGCGCACACACGCTCCTCAGTGTGGGAGAGGAGGGTTTCTGGAGGGACTCAAAGAATTGAATACCACCTCTCAAGAGAAATGAACAGCTGGCCCCGCACACGCAGCCAGTAAGTGGGAAGAAGAGGGTTTTATGTTGAGTCTGAATGAAAATCGGGACAAACATCAGTTGTTAGAATGTGCCAATCAAGGGCATCTTGGTAAATTCCATGTATAGGGAAATTTTAATTTAGAGCTAGCGTTCAGTCAGTAACCAAAGAAATACTCTTCAGATAAAAGCGCTTCAGATCTCGTGGTATGGGAAACCAATAATTACAAGATACGCTGAACAATACAAGGTAGAATTGCTAAAGGGATTAATTAGCCTTAGTCTAGCTAACTACTATAATTGATGCAAATATACATCTGCAGCCTGCTGAGACATTAGATAGTCATCATACACCTGCTCGGTTTACCAGTGTTGCAGAACACAGCTGTCAGAATCATTTCTGTTTGGGGGTGGGGGTTTTGGTGGTGTGCTTTTTTTGGGTTTTTTTTTGGAACTCCTTGAGCATAATTGACTGCTGCTTCTTTTGTTGTTCAAAATTGTTTCTTTTTCTATTTTCTTTTTCTAAACAGCACTTCCATGATGGCAGAAAGGCACAACAACATATTGAAACTTGCTGGAAACAACTTGAAGCAGTAAGTGGAAGCTTCCTCAGATGTGACATTTAAGTCATTTTTATACTGTTTTCATAGAGATGGTTCCAAACATTATAGTTGGCAAAAGAAGGGCGTATGGATAAAAGCTGTAGAAATGGGATTTTTAAAACTCTGCTGTCTTAAATGCACTGGTAGACATGAAAAAGTCTGTTTTCATGGTACATTTGGCTTTCTGTGGGATCTGTGTCTTATTATGAGTAGCATTTCATTTGATATGACTTGAAAAGTGTGCTAAGTGTCACTGGAAATGCAGAGTCCCTAAGGGTCCTATTCAGATATTCCACTGTAAGCTGAATAGCTTCGTGCTGCGTGAATAAATTTAATGGGGCCATCTCTTGAATAAGGTGCTATTTCTCAAAAGTAAATACATTGGAATTATCATTCATGTGATGAATGAAAAGTGAGACTGTAAGCAGAGGAGAAAATAAAGAAAGGGAACATCAGTAACCAAAATTCCTACTTGCAAATGTATGAATCTTCGTAAGTCCCTTGTTGTGCATTATAAAAATGAGGGAGTTAAGAGTTGGAAGGGAGTGACTTGATCTACGAGAGCAGAAGAGATGCTAACAGGGAAAAATATTGAAATAGTAGTGATGTTGGTAGAATCGAGCAGCCTGAAGAACGGAACAACAAATGTGTTTCTGGTAACTTTGTTTTTTGAACTTCTTTACATTGGAATACATTTCCATATTAAACAAGTGAGTCCTAAAAACTGACAATTGTTACAGCAGATAAGTTTAGGGGCAGGTATTGATTTTAGCTAGATTTTTATATATTTCTTTCCCATAAAGAAGGTTTCTATTTTTCTTTTCAGAGTAAAAGGCGGTTTGAACGAGATTGCAAAGAAGCTGATCGAGCGCAGCAGTATTTTGAGAAAATGGATGCTGATATCAATGTTACAAAAGCAGATGTTGAAAAGGTAAGCCAGAGGGTAGAGAGGCTGTTTGTAACCGTGGATGTGATAGGTTTAGTTCCTCAATCCCACTGGTAGGATAAAACCTCTGCGGCTTAATGCCTCACTTAAGTCAGTCTGTATATTAATTAAAACTAGGGAGATCTCTGCAGAGACCTATATTTGCGTAAAATTTCTAAATGGATAGTCAGTTTTCTTCAGAAGGGTGATATCTGAGTTTACCATAGCTGACATGGCTCTAAATGAGCTTGTGATCAGTTTTAATGACTGCCCCGGATTCTGTGACAGTCAGGCCTGTGAGGGCTCCCCGTGGGGTGCTTGCGGTTACCGCACGTTGTTGGTAGCTCTGTGATCCAGGTAGAACTAAACTTCCTGCCTTTTGAGCAACACTTTGAAGATGTCCCTATGTTGCTGCTTGCAATGAAGTGTTACCAGGAATGTTGTTTATGGTCCTAGGTTTACAGCAGGACAGCTTTTCACGTTATGCAGAATCCTGGAATCCATGCTTGTCACAGATGGCACATAGCTTTTATTTTAATTTCTCAATTGGTGTCTGTTTGCGAAGTCATTTGTGACTTTTATACACTGATCCCCATTCAGTGAAACTTTTGAACTGATGCTTAATTTTAAACATACGTTTCTGTTTCAGCATATCCATCTTGAAATAATTTCTCTATTTAGTTTGATTCAAAATCGGATGTTCAGAAGGGTGCATAAAGTTTAAATGTTCAAGTCCAGTGATGTACCTGAAACTTAAGGAAGCAATGGAGAGGGAGAAAGCGTGTTTGAATTGCTTCTCTTTTTGGAGTTACGCATCTGCTCTGACAATCACTATATTACAATTTGTAAGGGCAGTTTTGTCTTCCCCGAATTTGATTCATATAGGTAGAAAATAGCCAGAACATTTGAAAAGGTTTGTTTCTTTAAAAAAAGAAGAGGGCAACAAAAAAAAAAAAAGCAAGGGCAAAAAAAAAGTTGAAGCTTAAAATATACCAAACATTTTGTTACAGGGTCAGGAAAGGAAACTGAATTATAGGTAAGGAAACTTTTGTTGTCCAAGATAGCCCTTGTAAAATGTAGCTCTTGCTCCTCAAGAGGTCTGCTTCGTTCTATTCTCAGTTAATTCAATCCTGGAAAGGTATCAAATACAATTTTTTCTTTACATCTGTGGGATTTTAAGATGTTTCTAGTATGCTGAGCATCATAGAGGTTGTGTAGCAGATAGCAGCAAGGATGCTATTAGAAATGGGGACAGTAAATGAAAAAGCTCCAAAAATTTCCCCAAAGTGCTATTGCATATCAAAGGAAAAAATACCTCTGTGGTCTTGTAATTTGCTTGGCTATTAGTTGCAAATTCACCATGCAGATTTGATCCTTTGTTGCCTTCTGGATTTGCCAGGGCACTTTACAGATGAATGCATGTACAGCATTGTTAAAGATGTAACACCGCATGTGGGGTCTTTCTGACAGAGGAGGATCATCTCATCCTTATCTGTATAAAGTGATTTTCGAATACTTTTTTTTTTTTCATAGATAAAATTAGGACTTGCCCTAGATATGTTTTGTTTTTTTTTTTCCAAAGCTGAGGCCATGTCAAAGGGATACAGAGACATGACTTACTATTTGAAATAGAGGGCTGAAACGCTTTACTTCTAGATCCTTTTCTAAGGCTGACCTTTTCTGGTCAGAGCAAAAGGCTGCATATTGGTGGCATATCAATCTGATAGCATTAGGTAAATTGTG